CTAAGAGAAAGTGAGGACAAGACGAGAAATTGAGCACAAAAAGGCAGTAAAAGAGAAATGGGACTCACTTGAGCGTGACATTCTGCCAGTATGTTTATTCGAGAAGTTGACCGAGTTGTGTTGGTGAGGGACAAGGACAAGAGAGCTTCGCTTGCATCACCTTGCTTGTGCTGCGGAGGTTCTACTAGTATTTGGATTCCACATACATCTCTGCACCAGGCACGCTCATCACATGACATCGTTGCGATCCAGCCGCGGCCAAGAGACGAAGTGGTGGCAGCTGGCTAAACAAGTAACCCCAACCATGGCCAGACTAACGATAACTCAAGAGTCATGAGGTGATGAAAAACAACTTCGAAATGATAATGGATGGAACATGTTAAGGACACGTGCAAAGTACTAGTAGGTGGATAAAGTTACCAGCAGCAGGCACGAGAATTTCGATCAAGAGGTGAGCGGCGGAAATGAGAGAAGGGGAACAGATCCAGGGACAGCTCTCCCTTTCCCAGAAGATCGACTAATTTAGGATAAATTTTGGGAGGGAGTGTTCCATAACCAGGCGCAATGAAACTTGCGGTGTTCAAAGAAAGGGATCGAACACAGTGTCTTCGAAAACGACGAGATAAGATCCCAGATTTCTTTTTTTTTTGGCATCGCTGGATACATCGTTTGAGAGACATCGGTGACGGTTCACGTTCAGCTAGGAAAAACAACTCACCAAGAACAACCTTGGGGACGATTAGTAGCATGCCTTGCAAGTCGAAGACGCGAGTGATGCTCTAAAAGAAATCAAGTGGCAGGGCGTTTACGACTACAACCCCCTTCCGGCGGCTGACATTGGCAGAAAGCCGATCAAAGCCGGGTCAATATGAATCATCGCTTGCAGGGGCAAACGTTCTGGCAACATTTTCGCTCACCCGCAAACGATTTCTGAAGGGATGGCAGTTCTACTGCGACGTTTGATCGCTGACCGTTCTGTGCAACCCTTTATCCGTGGTTGCCACGCTTCCATCTACATCGCTGGCAAGGGAAAAATACTTGTGTTTGTACTATATCATATTGGTTCATGTGACAGGTGAATAACTTGAAGCGCCGCGGCCGACATTCTTGCACTCATTGTGATTATTCTTTTTGCGACCTACCGTTGGAATATCAAAACCTTTTGATTTTTCGAGAGCGATGCAGGAGGAGGGTAGACAACCAAAGATCTGGGTGTGCACAGAACAGTGAGTGACTCTGTGTCGTAGGAAAACTGGCAGCCCTTCTGAAAGCATTCACGGCCGAGTGTGAACCTTCCCAGCACCATGGGCCTACAAGTGTCAGGTTGATGGCGGCTTTTCTGTCGAGTCAGTCGCTGCAAGTGAGTTGTAGTTGTTAATGCCATCAAACTGAAGGTATCAACAAGTACAACCCGCCGCAGCGTGGTGCCCCTTCCTTGGCCCGTAGACGTGGGGCAGGAAAGGAGGAATGGGTCATAGAGCTGCGTTTAGAGAGGAGGTTCGTTTTAACGTTCTGCGTTATTGTGCAACGTCACTATGACGTTGGTGCGTGATTTTGTCAGACGTCGGAACGGATCCGCAATCAATACATTGCGAGAAATAACGTGCGTATCCGGTGGAGCCACACGACAGGAGTACCGTCTAAGTAAGCGGAACCACTGGCAAGATAGGAGCCCCCGTCTCTTGTGAATAAAACATATGATCAAAGGCACGGCACAGGAATCGATTAACATGATGAAAAAAACCTATGAGTGTGCCTATCGAGCGCAGACCACGCTCTAAAAAAAACAGTCGACCATACAACTAGTCTCATGAGGCCGTCTCGCGGCGGTGATGTCGTTGCCCACGCGGCGGAATCGGGTTCTCTGGCCTGAGTGAGCAATATAAGAAATGCCGCCGCGGAAGCGTCGCGCTCGCCATACCCGCAACCGCTGCGACGCGCGCGCCAAGAGGTGCCGTATCTGTGCCGCTTCCGCGCACGCCAAGTGAGAACATGCGATCGAACACTGAAAATCAACGAGAGCAATTATGCGGTCAGTCATTACTGGGGTGGAGGAAAAGAAAAGTCGGATTACGTACGCGTGGCTATGAATGCCTTGGCAGTCGTCTGGCATGCGAGATGCGAGAGCGCGAGGGGCGGGCTGACGCCTTCGAGCGTGCGAAGGTACCGGAAGACCATCGAGGGTTGGCAGGGCCCGAAACGGAAGACGGCATGGTAAGCCTGGCGCCACTTCTCGTCGAGGAGTCGCGCGCAGGTCGACGGGTCCGGGCAAGACGGGCACTGTATACAGGAAAGTCCTGAGCAGTCCGCGTGTCGAACCGAAACTAGGAGGGTGGACGTACGCATTCGAATTCTTTGGCAATCAGAACGAGACCCAGCTTGATCACTCGTTCGAGGAACCAGTTCCGTCTGCGCATACGTAGTTGGTGACATTTAGTTATCGCGATGATGAGAGCTTTTGGAGGCATGAATTTGGGGCATACCTTTTCTCGAGCTTGAGCAGCGTCTCACTGCTAAGTGTGTTGAGCTCTTGTTCCGGCCACCCGCCTGGATTGTCAAGTACGAAGCGCGAGGCCTCGCGGTATAGCTCCTCCTCCTCGAACAACTCCGCAATGCGCATCGCCTTGATCGGACGGCCAGCTGCGTGCGTAAGGAGAAAGTTGAGACAGATTCGTTGCAGAGAAGGCACGCAAAGCTTGTTGCCGATATTCATGAGGCCTTCCACGTTGTTCCAGGTAATAGTGCAATCCATACTGAGTCAAAAGGTCAACATTATAAACCCCCGTTTCGGTTGCAACAAGCGCATACCTAGGATAAACGAACCGGAGAAAGTCATGAAAGGTGCTTGCCTAAATTCCATTGGGATGAGTTTGGGGAAATAGCTATCCAACGGCCACACCTTTTCCTCCTTGAGGACTATGACGGCATCCGGTTTGCTAGTCATTGGTTGGTGCCTAGTAGATGCCCCTACGTTACCCCGCTTCCAAGAGAGTTTGACGGCACCGTTGCCTTTCTCCCTGTCCGATTGCGCGGATGACTCTGCGCCCCTCTGAAGCTTCTCCAGGCTTTCCATCCGTGCAGCATCGCGGGATTTCTTGTTTTGTGCCTCGGCCTCTGAGGTAGCGTCCGATTCGACCCTATGGGTTTGCTTGTCGTCCTTTCCGGTCGCGACAATCATTGGAGTGGGAGGCTCGATGACTTCGGGTTCGCTCGACTCTGAAGTGTCAATGTCCAGCTCGTCAGGGTCTAGATCGGGGTCCATTGGCGCAAACGCCATAGCCGTCGGCGCGTCAGGAAGTATCTTATCACCCGGGACTGAGGGAGGCTGGGAGATCGTAATGACAGAGGACATGGACAGCGGACGTCCGGTCTCCGCCCAGTTTCCACTTAGAGCGGCCTGGAAGAAGGGAGAGGCGAACCAGAGGACCTCTTTGTGAGCCCTGAAAAAGACCCCCATCATCAGCGATAAAGATGACGAGATGGAAGAGGGGAGAAACACACCAGAACGTTGTGCTCTCGACGACGATTTTGACTGTCCCAGGGAACTTGGAGCATTTGGTAAATGCTTCATCGACATCAATCGGCTCCTGTGAGTCATTAATGCTGATTTCAGATACTACGTCTTCTGTATCCACCCCTTCTAGGAACCAAGGAGATGATCCAGCAGAAGAACGGAATATCCCCGCTGCTGCGGCGTGAGTTTCTGTGGGTGAGCTCAGCGACGCAGTGACATTTGAAGGGCCACGGGAGTTGCGCGCGATGAGGATATGGGATGGGTTGGTTGTCATTGTAGACGTCAGGAGCAAGATGTTCGCTTGCTTTTGCTAGGATACAGTCCACATTGATCGGTTATTGGCTGTGCGGGCGGGCGGGATCGTCGGAGTCGAGACGTGTCCCGCGGCCCGGTGCTTCTTCTGTCGATGTGATGGCTTCTCCTCAATCACAACAACCATCATATGGTCATTTTCACCATCAGCATTTATTTCCACCTTCACAGTACCTGCTTCTTAACGGCTCTACTTTGCACCTCCCAATGAATGCGCTCTATTATGTTAGTGCACCTAGAAGTAGGATGCGCTGTCCTCCATGTCTCCTAGAATAAACCTTAAATTTGATTCGCCGACATGCAGTCCTCTCTTATGTGCCCGCAGTCAGCCTTGAGACCATCCAGACCAAGTGCTCATTAACCATGAGACTCGCCCTTGCCCGCCCTCAACAGTATGCGTAGTCACGGACCCATGCTCTGTACGGGGACCGAATGGCAATTTACAGCGCCAACTTGAATTTGACGTCTCAGCCAATAGCTTGGTGTATGAGAAGGGGGTTAGTCGTAACTATAGGTAGAGTTGCCAGGTGATGCGTTACAGTCAAAGCTCTCATAACCCATAGTGGTTGGTGGACACTTGGGGCTATGGGTTATGAGGGATTATGGGGTATCAGGGATCTCAATGAATAATTTTTTGAATCACTAGATTTATTGAAAATGTGCATGAAGTGTCTACTAGGTTGTATCAATGTCATTTCAGCCATGAGCATCATTTCTGGTCCTGGACTTGGTTTTGTATGATTTGTAGCCCAGTTTCAGAGAGGTAAGAGGATTTGCCATGACAACAGTATTTTTTCATGATGATAGATAGACCTGAGGACTGCTAAAGTGGCACAGGATGAATGTCACACCAGTTATTGCGGCTACTGTCACCGGAACTTCAACCCCTCTGTCAAAATGTCATAATTCAATTGATAGTTTGCGTCGGAATGGCCTTATGTAAGCACAAATGTATGGATTACGGCAAATTGTATGGTTATGGGTATGAGAGATGGTTATTGCCCATTCCTGCAACAACTGGTGACAAGAAATGTATGGTATTGAGGATTATGGGTTGTGAGAGCTATGGGTTATGAGAGCTTCGACTGTATAATGTACTACGCACATTTCCGAGAAAAAGGATTGTGAACTCGGTTGCCATGAAGAAATAGATTCAGGACAGGGACCAAAATTTCGACGCCAGCAGGACTCGAACCTGCGCTCCCAAAGGGAAACAGATGATTGCTACTTAGCTAATTCTAATCTGTCGCCGTAACCACTTGGCTATAGCGCCTTCTGATATCGAAAAGAAATTTACGGATATCTCCTTTGGACATATATATTTGTGAACTTGGCTATGACGCAGCGTCGGGCGTCAACGGAAAATACATATAAAACTCCGTGGGCTAACCAGGAACCCTATTTATCTTTCCTTACCCCTTGACCCTCTGCAATGGTTAAAGAAACCGCATCGGATGTGTTGCACGGTCCCGATCAACCGGGGTCGCGAAAAGCTAGATGGAACCGCTGGCTGGCACATGACATGTGTCTTGGTTCTCGCATCTCTTCTGTGGTGGTTATGGTCATGCAATACACCGCGCACGATCCTAACGCCATTATCTGGACTGGCCCCAGCTGATCGCGTCCCCGATATTGGATTTCCTGAGGACATGCTACGAACTTGGGCACAGTATGCGCCTTACATTCCCGCGGGGAAGTATGTTCTTCCACCTCCGGTGTGCTCCATATCCCAAGTAAGTGCACATACTTATATATCCCGATGCGTCCGATTGACACATTCTGCCCAAGGTACATGTGGTATGTGGATTTTCTCCCTCGTCTTCCGATAGAAATGTACCCACGATGAGCGACAGTTGCAACGACATGGTTCACGATGGCCCACCACGAACTCTGGTGCAGAAATGAAATCTGCTGTGCACAAACTGCAACGCGCTAAACACTACAAAGAAGACTATCTCACTTTCCTTAAAACCTTCGAGTGGGACTTGAAGGTAAATGACCTCCTCCCGCTCGGGGCCAAACAGTGAGTTAACTTTGTTACCTCTTCGAAGGCCGATCTGACATCTTTTGAGGTCCTATGAGGCTGGCGTTGTTGCTTTTGAGAGATACGCGCATATCGTGACGAAGGACAACCTCTCATTTATCAGGGCGGCGAGTTCACCCCGTGTGGTGGATTCTGCCACCAACTGGTCTGCAGGTCTGCTGACAGTACCGCTATATCACCTGGCGTTTTAACGAAAGTTGGACTTCAGGATTCACAGTAGCCAGCCACAATAAGATTAAAGCAAAGGTGGACTTGATCCTCCCAGAGTCGGTGAGTACAACGTTTCCTTGTTTTCCGTTCATCCTTCACAATGTCAAAGGGAAATATCACTTTGGATGACACAATGTGTCCTAATGCAGGTGATGGAGATGCGGAGAGTAAGAAATGGCTAGACGTATTTGCACCGTCCATCACGAAGCGGCTCAATTCGGCCGCGCCTGGTGCCAAATTGCATGACAAGGATACACACAAGCTTATGTCCCTCTGTGCCTTCCACTCTCAAATCACGATGGAGCCGAGTCCCTTTTGCGGTCTGTTTACCGCGGAAGAATTCAAAGGATATGAATACTACGCAGATGTCAACAAGTTCTATCATACCGGGTAAGTCGTTTTCAGCTCATACTGGTCGTTGGCGCTGGATTTTTCCGTAGCTATGGAGGATATCTTGGGCGTGTGCAAGGGGTTGGATATGTGAATGAGCTCCTCGCTAGGTTGACCGGAAAGCCTGTTCGAGATCACACGCAAACCAACCGCACGCTGGATGCTTCACCAGAGACTTTTCCCCTCGATCGCGTCCTATATGTCGACTTTTCTCATGACAACGAAATAGTGGCCATTTACTCGGCATTGGGCTTGTTCCGGCAACGTCTTTTACCAGACCAGAACTCGACCCAGTCGAACCGAGTCCGTTAAGGACATGGTTCTTGTCGAGTATGGTTCCTTTTAGCGCAAGGATGGTTGTTGAGAGACTCGAATGCACCGGCCACTCCCCCTACCGTTCGGAACGTTCGTTAGGGTCCTGGTTAACGATGTTGTGCAACCCTTGGAGTTTTGCGGTGGCATTGCGGGCCTGTGTGAGCTGCACGTGTTTGTAGCGAGCCAGCGATACGCCAGACATGATGGGATGGTGACTTTGAGAAGTGTTATAATTAGGCTTTCCGAGTCAACTTGTGGTGGTTTGAACTGTACTGGATACAACTATAGACACGTTTTGTGAATACATACAGATGTATACCGTAAAAAGTAAAGGGGTCCACGCGTTATTGCGAGCCGAGCCGAAATCCCACACCCAGGCGTTCAACGGCGTCGACAGCTTCCGTCATGCCTCTCTTAGAAGGCATCCAAGAGTATCTCGAGTCCGCTGAGGACTACGTTTACGTTTCTTATTCCTCAGTCAAGGCAGAGATGCCTAACATCCACGAAGCGTTGAATAGACTCTGGACCGATATTTCGCGATTCGGACCTCCCATCCCGGAGATACACCTGCCCAGTATCGTCGTCCAGGTTCCCCCAGCCCCCCCACCCCCACCTCCACCGCCAAAGTCTCTCCTTGACACTGTGGCAGATTGGGGTGCTGAGAACCCTTGGAAGGCATCCAGCTTGGGTATCGGTGTCGTGGGAATCGGTTTGCTGGTCGGCTATAATGCCTATCGAGCTAGGACACAGTCGAGGTTGCACAAACGGTATCACACAGTAAATCATGAGCGAAGGCAGGTCGTTGGTACGTTATTAACAAATTTTCCCAAATCGAAACTCATCTCACGATCAATGCTCCAGTCCTGCTCGGAGCCGACAATCCTGTAGCGGTTCCTCTAATGCTCGCCCTTGAGAAGAAAGGGTTCATCATCATCGCTAGTGTCGCCACCCCGGAAGGGGTTGAGAGAGTTGAACGCGCGGGGAATGGTTATGTCAGGGCACTCGTCCTAGATCCCTTCGAGGTGCGACAGCCGTCGCTCTGACATTCGTCTCATAAGTCTCACAACCCCGATAGCCTGCCACGATCCCGATTTTCCTACGCTCCTTGGCCTCTGCTCTATCTCACAGGTTCCCCATCAACATCCACGGTGATCCGCATGCCTCTCCTGCAACGCACCCTTTCGTCCATTCCGTCGTCTCGCTTCTCAGTCTTTCCCAATTCTCCGCCCTCACTCCACTGGAGCACGTTCAGCTCCAGGGCGAATATCTCAAATATCTCAACGCAACGCACATCACACCTCTCCATATCATTCAGGCTCTCTTGCCACTCATGCGCAACTCCCCATCACGCACGCGAGATGCCATCAAAAGCGGCAAGGGCAAGAAAAGCATCATCGTGTGCGTTCCGGCTCTCGATGCCCGCGTCGGGCTGCCCTTCTTGGGACCCAGCTCGATGAGTGCGGCTGCCACTCTTCGGGCGGTTGAAGTTCTACGCCGTGAAGTGCGCATCGCCGCTGCGACCGGCGGTTCCGAGGGGATGAACGACATCAACGTTGTCAGTCTTGAAGTTGGTGCGCTGGATATTCCACCGTTCGCTGGGCGCTATCTGCTGGATTACGATCCCAAGGAGTACACAAAATCGTGGACACCCTCAGAGAAGCTGGCTTATGGACCTGCATGGGAACTCACTCAGGAGGTCCAGGTCGCAAGTTCCAGCGAAAGGCACAGAACGTAGAAGTCTTTGTCGGTGACGTCCTTCAAATCGTCAGTCATGGTCGTGTGGGATCCGTGTCGCTTTATGGTCTGCGACTCAACATTGGGTCATTGTTTGATTGGATGCGGGGTGGCCGTATGCTGTTGGATCTGGAGGTAACTGTGCGCATTTTTCGACCTGCGTGAATCTACCTTGCTGATTTTTTTTGTCCCCACCTCTCACCCTTTTGCAGCCGTAATGAGCTCCTTTGTGTCACATCTCCCTGGCGCGGTGCTCGACATCATAATCAGCATCCCATATTTACTCCTCTCATCTCACAAAGCATTGTCTCAGCGAACCCGCGAACCTCCTGCCGCGGTGAAGCGCCTCCACCGGCTCCCGCGTCCGTGCCAAGAACAGCACCTGTGCCTGCCGGAGTCCCTACAAGCGAGGTGAAAGAAACCACCGATTCAGCACAGACCTCAGAACATGAACGCGATACGTCCGAAAATGGATCGGAGGCTGATGTGGAGAGTAACGATGGGGCTGGTGTAAGCGAAAGCTGGGTCAGCCTCGGGCCTCATCCGACGACGACAGAAGCAGCTGCTACCTGAGGCCTGAGGCCTGAGTGCTTGTTGTGCTAGTGTGTCGATATCGTGGTTCCTGAACTCCCTGCTACTATGAAATGATTGGCCTGCTTTCTTGTACGTTACTGTACTGAATGACCCCAGTGTATTAGTTTCAACAAAGCTTGATCAGTTCGATTTGTCAAACAGCCCGAGAAGCCTCCTTTTTCCCACAGTAGTTACCAACCCCGGGACGGATAAATTCGATGATGAATACCATGCCCTGCGTATAAACAACAACGATGGGTACGAATCCCTAACACTCCGATACCACATATGCTGATCCATCAATCGCTGGGTCACTTGCCGGTAGGATCTATCACGCTCTGGCTCGTACCCTCCGAACCTGAAGCTGCCCTCCTGCAACAACTCATGGACCGCCGCCCAGAACAGAGTGCCCACCACTCCTTCCCGCATTTCCACCCGCACGTCACACTCGCGACTCTAAAACCGGCATCAACGACAACGTCATCAGAGTCTACCTCCGCCGCGACTTCGGAAACGAACGACGCATCGAATCGCGAGCGAGCCGCCACGCTACTCGCGCTACGTGAGGCCTTGCCACTCGGCCAGCCCGCGGTGGACATACGTTTCGAGCGTGTCGTCACGGGCGATCACTACTTTCGTTCGGTCTACATCGTCCTCCAACGATCGCGCGAACTCGTCGAGCTGCGCGAGGCACTAGGAACCACAATCAGGGGACCTGAACCGCCTGCGTTCCCGCATCTCTCGTTGTATTATATCGCTGACGAGGATGCGCACGAGCGCGCGCGCGTCTTGCAGGAGTTGGAGAGGGATAATGTGGTTGGGCGCTCTGCGAACCCTGGTCGTGGTGGTGTGATGCTGAAATGCGCCAGTGGTGAGGGAGATGTTGTTGCCCTTGACGGATTTTTGGGAACGCAGATATGGATCATGGATTGTGAGGGACCGGTTGAGGGATGGAAGGTGATCGATAAGATATTGCTTGCCAAGTCGGATCGTTAAGCAGAGCGCGG